GGAGAGTTTGGCCATGATTGATGCCATTCAACGCCTTGGCATCGACCACCATTTCCATAATCAGATAGAACAGGTTCTTGGAAAGCATAATATGATCCTATGTAGCAAAGATGGTTATCAAGGCCAGCATCTTCATGAGGTTGCTTTGCGCTTTCGCCTACTCAGACAACAAGGTTACCATGTGCCAGCAGGTGTGTGTATATGGCCAGTTTAATTGCCTCTGATATATATATATATATTTTTTGGTTTAATTAACTCAACTGATGATGGCTTTGAAAAACAGATATGTTTAAGGAGTTCAAAGATAATAGAGGAAGGTTTAACCAAGAACTAAGTGAGAACATTGCAGGCTTGATGGAATTATATGAAGCTTCACACCTAAGCATAGAGGGAGAAGATATACTTGATGAAGCTGGAGAATTCAGTGCTCATCACCTCAAAGCATGTCTAGAACATCTTGACTATTCACAGGCCAAGGTGGTGCAGAATAAACTGGACTATCCCTATAGCAGAAGCGTATTGAGAATCAAGGCGATGTCCTCATTAATGATCCTTAGTGATTTCCAAGGAAGGGAGTGGATAAATCTCCTACTAGACATAGCCAAAATGGATTTCAATATGGTCCAGTCCTTGCACCAAAAGGAAATACTTCAAGTTACCAAGTAAAAGTTTCAAGTGTTTTTCCCTTTACATATAATATAATATGGATATGAATATATTATATAATATGAGGCAATTTTTTTATTTTTAAATTATTTTTTAAGTACCTAATTTAAGATTTGAACTTCAAATATCAAATTTAAAATCTCTAAGTTCTTACTCATAAAATGCACAACCCATTAAGGGGTAAAAGTTTCAAGTTTGGAGTTTTATGTTAATTAATACCTTCCTCTTCTCCCATACTCGTAACGGTCTCATCTCTATGAATGTTAGGTGGTGGAAGGATCTCGGCTTGAGGAAGGAGCTACCGTTGGCTAGGGACCAAAGCACAAAATGGTATTTAGAATCTCTGGCATGCCTCAATGATCCAAGCTTGTCAGAGGAAAGGATTGTGCTCGCAAAAACTATTTCACTAATTTTCATAATTGATGACATCTTTGATCTTTACGGGACACTTGATGAACTCACTCTATTCACACAAGTTGTCAACAGGTATCAATCAACCTACACATGAGATATTATACACTTAGTTATAGACATACTCTCTCTCTAAATTTTTTAGTAGAGTTAGTTTGACTTTTTGATCTTTAATATATGAATTTTAGATAAAAATTTAATAATTTATATAAATAACAATTAATTTTTTTATCAAATAAAAGTACTTAATAAGAACTATAATTTGGACAAAAAAATTTTCAATTGTTAATATAAATTATTAAATTTTTATTCAAAATTCATCTCTTAAAAGTAAAAAAAATAATTAAATCTATTAAAAATGAACAAAAGGAGTATATAATATGAGACTCTAAGAAAAATTAAGACATTTTGACAACTAAAATACTAAGAATGATAATAAAAAAACCAAAATCCCTTCAATGAATCAACACATAAAAAAATTTTATTAAAAGTATTTGAATAATTTCACAAAAAGTTCTAGCATTTAAGGTGTCAAGGAAGCTATGATTTTGACTTTTTTCATATAATATATGTGAATTCCCACTTCTAAAAAAATTGGAGTCCCAATTTAAAAAACATCACCATGCAATGAATATTTTTAAAAATCAACAATTAAATTTAGTTTTTTATTGATGTAGATCACACATATCAATTTAGAAATTAATTGGAAATATATAACTAGCTAGTGCATTCATTATATGTACACAATTTAACACCATGAAATATATACTATAATTTATTAGTATGATTTATATCAATAAAAAATTAAATTAAAAGATTAATTTTTGAAAATATTCACATGAGAGTGGTGTTTTTGAAGTAATAATTCTAATTTTTTTTATGAAAGTTGAGACTAATATATATTATTTTATATATATACGCACATACTCTCCAATGAATATTTTCAAAAATAACTATGAGATTTAATGTTCTATTGATATAGATCATAAATATCAATTTTAAGCTAATCTAAAATCTAGAATCATTTGATCAAGAAATTAGTATTTTCTAACAAATATTTAATGGTAGTAAATTTTTTATAAGCAATGAACTAGTTATCTACATTCAATTAATTTGAAAATTGATATGCGTGATTTACATTATTTAAAAACTATATCCAGCAGTTAGTTTTTGAAAATTTTCATTGGAATATATTGTTTATGAAGTTGGAATTTCAATGTTTTTGAGAGTCAAGACAATATAGACTATCCGTGTATATATAATAGTGTTTATATGTCATACTTTCAAAAAATAAAAAAAAAATTATTTTCAAATTATATTGTTTTAATAAAATACCATTAAAAAAATATTAACAAAAGTCTGATTTATTCTTTGAAGATATGGTATTTTAATTTTCTTTAATGAAAGTTTATTAAAATAATATAATTTAAAATTTTTTTTTT